CTGTCCTTGGCAATGTCACTCGCTTTAAGCCTGTTTTATTGCCAGGTGTGTTTGGCGACGTGGAAAATACTCTCTCAGTGTGGGAAGCTTGGTATGCAGGGAGGAAACGCACATGAACTGGGTAGTAAAAGGCTAATTAAAACGGAACCACTTAACCACTTAGTGGTAGAAACACTTAAACGGCAAAATACTGGGAGAAAAATCTTGCATTAAAAAAAAAGTTATTTTAGATTCACGATGTCTTGGATTCTGTTGCTGTCCACATCAAGGAAAGCGCACCAGGCTCACCAAGAGTGGATCAAAAAGAGGGGCTTTTCAATCCCACCTCCTGCCCCACACCCCTGGCTCTGCCGGAGCCAGTCCTCTGAGTTTCCAGAGCTTTCTGCCCCACAGCGCCTGGAGGTTCTACTAGTCCCTCCCTTCCCTTTCTCCTAGGGTCCTGCGCTGCACTCCTTGCCTGGCTTGCAGGCCTGAGGGTAGTGATGCTTCCTGCTGTTGCGCATGCCCTCATTTTCTCATCGGTTCCCCCAGCTCTTTAAGCAGCCTCCTCATCAAACTCTTTTAATTTCAGCAAGACCCTGATGATATAGCGAAGGAAAAATGAAGCAGGGCAGAGGAGGGGAGGAGTCAGAGTTAAAGGATGGGTTAAGGTAGTGATCAGGGAAGAAGCTAGGAGAGGAGTTAGGGGTGGGACCAGGGGAAGGGGCTAGGGAGAGACTGGGGAGGAGTTATGGGACAGACTAGGGGAGGGGCTAAAGGAGGAGTTATGGGAGGGGCTAGGGAGAGACTAGGGGAGGGGCTAGAAGAGTTAGCGAGAGACGAGGGGAGGAGCTAAGGAGATGAGACTGGGGAGAAGCTAGGGGAGGAGTTAGGGAGAGACTGGAAGAGCTAGGGAGAGACTAGGGGAGGGATACGGGAAGGGATGGGGAGGAGCTAGAGGAGGAGTTAGGGAGAGACTAGGAGTGGAGTTAGGGAGAGACTAGGAGTGGAGCTAGGGAGAGACTAGGAGTGGAGCTGGGGGTGGAGCTGGGGGAGGAGTTAGGGGAGAATCTAGGGGTGAGGCTTGGGGAGGAGTTAGAGGGACTAGGGAAGGAGCTAAGGTAGGGGCTACGGAAAGAGGAGCTAATGGAGGGGCTAGGGAAAGAAGCAGTCATGAAAGGAACTAGGGGAGGGGCTGCAGGAGGAGTTAGGGGAGGAACTAGGCGATGAGTTAGGGGAGCAGCTAGTGAAGGGATTAGGGAAGGGGAAGGAGCAGGGGGAGACTCTAGAGGAGGGGCTGGGGAGGTTTTAAGGGAGTGGTTAGAGGTTAGAGGTAGGATCTCTGGAGCTAGAATACCAGGTATATATGTTGCCTCTGCTACTTCCTAGCCTGTAACCCATCTTAATGGAATTACTTCATCTCTTGGTTTCTCAGTTTCCTTGTCTAAAAATTCTGGATGATATAGTGGCACTTAGCTTCTATGATCCTTTTGAGTATTAAATCAATGAGTTAATCCATGATAAGTGCTGCCA